TTTTTTAACAATCCGATTCCATTTAAACATCCATTTGACGATTGAAGCATAAACATTAACAAATTATTACTTATTTATTCATTTCACCAACGCTAAAAGTTATTTATCAAACCATTTCATTAAAACAATAGATGCGCTTATTGAAAAATCGATTTATTTTGAATTAAAAAATGAAACATTTTGAGGTTATAAAAGGATGTTTGAGGTTAGGTTATGCCGCATTATAAGCTTCCAGGGAAACCACTTTACTTTTTATACGATTTTAAAAATCACATTTAATTCGATGAAAATGAGGTTAATCAAAAACATTTTTTCTCTAAAACGATTAGGAATGTATAAATGAAACTTTTTGAGGTTATAAAGCAACATTTGAAGTTAACTTATTTAATTTATTTTAAATAAAATTTAAAAAATTGGCTAATAAGTTAATAATAATTCCTTACAATCAATGAAATAACAGTACGTAATGAAGTACAGTCAATGTTGCCCATCATATGGCATAATAAGTACTTTCCTATTTGAATTTTTAAAGCATACCTCCCTAATAAGTAGTTTAAAGTTCTTTGTGACAATAATAACGATGGATTTGTGGAATTAAACGAGGAAAATAATAAAAGGTAAAAAAATGTGGAGGCGCCGGGCATCGATCCCGGTACCTCTCGCATGCTAAGCGAGCGCTCTACCATCTGAGCTACGCCCCCTATATACAGGTGTCCCGTATCTTCCACATCGGAGCATTATACGGTTCTACGTATTCTGAAGACATCCTGTATAATCAACAAAAACTTATTCAACTCATTTAAATAAATCTTGCTTTAACGTTGGGAGTAAAGAAAATGAAATCAAATCACCATAGTTCTGTCATTGAAAGAAATTGCGTTTCCATAAATTTCCATTGAGTTCAAATATTGTATCTCAACAGCTAAATTAGTAAATAATCAGTGTTGAATTTATAACATTTCGGCGATTAGATCAGGAGCGTAATAAATTCATGATTTATGAAAACAATATTAATTATGGGAAACAATTTCATTAAATTTACGAACGTTTTGTTTGTCCCGTATCAATCGAATTCCAACACCGTCTGCATACATATTTTCGATTTATTTTATGTGTACGACATTTTACATTGACAAATGCTTTTGGCGCTGAAATTGTACTTAATTAAGTTATGATTCAACATGAATGTGAATTTTTAATGGTAACTTGGGTTGAAATGGTTAATTAATAACGTAGTTGTATCTTGTAGCTTGATTCGATGTTTATGCGATCAGCTGCATTCGGCCAAGTGAAATTCATGAGGGAATGGGGTTACCAAATCAAGTATCTATATGCATTGGTGGGGTTATAACCCGATACCGCGGTGTTGTTAATTACTATCGCATTAACATTTGAGATGACTGACTAGAGGTTTCGAGTATACGAGGACATAGAAACACTTGGAGCGAGGAAAAATTGTGAGTAAACTTCGTTAAGGCATTGTTAGGGAAGGCATTTTTCATTTTCCCGTCAACAGAAATTACACAAAACGAGGACTCGGCTAACGTTACGACGAAGGGGGTTGAATCTCGTATCTAGTAATTAATCTTAAGATTTTTATTTAAATCAACTCCTCGGGGATCTCTCCAAATTGCTCTCACCCCGAAAGGTTAGGCGGGTTGCACTCATTGAAACAACCTCTTTTTTATTGAATAAAAAATGAGTTCTATTCAATCTTCCGTTGTGGCGATTATATTAATATCTTTTTGAAATCCTCTCCGTGTGTGCACGTTTCATTTCCACTACATCATATGCATTTTAACGACCTTCATATATCTACGTTATCTTTTACCATTGATCAATTAACTTGAATTTTAAAAAATGACTAAAAACGTACCGAACAACCGAACCGAATTTATGCTATTTCGCGAATAAATAAAATATCAAAGCTATTAACCGGTAAACGCGCGAGGAATCGGAATCTTTCTCCAATAAGAATTTAACACCGTTTCTATAACAATTTACAACCCTGAAAAACTCATTTACCCGACGGGATTCATACTAATTAAAAGATACGTTCAAATTACTTACAGCTAGACTCCTAGACCTAATAACTTTAATTAATTATAGCGCTTCATTAGTGGGATAATCAAAATTAATTTACTCTTCTCGCCACCATTGTTTTATTCCTACAGACACTAAATCAGCATTTACTCTGGAAATCCTACGAAATATTGCGTTTTCTCATGTCATCTACTGGAAAATGACATTTACTAAAAGCTTTGCGGGCTTAATACCCCTTTAAATCGTTTGCGCCAATAAATTTTATACTAACGCAAATATCTTGACAAATTATCAAACGTGCATTTACACTAAATGCATATTTTCCTTTTTCAAGTTTTATTTTTTCTCAATTAATTACCATTTCATTTCTACTGTGTTATTGAACTCAAAAACCGGTTAACTTTATCTCTTATAAAGTTAACCGGTTTATGTCCAACCAAAACCATATTCTGGAAGTAAGGAAAGAATTTCCAAAATCTCCAATATGGTTGCTTTATAATCACGAATATGCTATTTCTTAAAAGTTACAAGTAATAGAGTACCAGTACTTTTGATCAAAGCAAGCATATTTCATAACTAGTTCCTGCCAGGCTATCATCATTTTTGAGAAATAAAGCGAAAATCGTCGAAATCTTCAATATGGTTGGTGTCCAATCAAGAATATATCACCACTCAAAAACTATAAGAGATGATACCCACAAAAATTATTCGTACTGAACCGAGCAAACATATTCCATAACCGGTTTATGTCTATCTACAACCATCTTCTAAGTATAAGGAGAGAAATCCCAAAATCTCCAATTTGGATGGTTGATAACCAAGAATATGCTATTTCTCAAAAGCTATAAGGAATAAAGCACCATGGTATGCACGAAAATTGTTCGTATTGATCAAAGCAAGCATATTTCATAACTAGTTCCTGCCAGGCTATCATTATTTTTGAGAAATAAAGCGAAAATCGTCGAAATCTTCAATATGGTTGGTGTCCAATCAAGAATATATCACCACTCAAAAACTATAAGAGATGATACCCACAAAAATTATTCGTACTGAACCGAGCAAACATATTCCATAACCGGTTTATGTCTATCTACAACCATCTTCTAAGTATAAGGAGAGAAATCCCAAAATCTCCAATTTGGATGGTTGATAACCAAGAATATGCTATTTCTCAAAAGCTATAAGGAATAAAGCACCATGGTATGCACGAAAATTGTTCGTATTGATCAAAGCAAGCATATTTCATAACTAGTTCCTGCCAGGCTATCATTATTTTTGAGAAATAAAGCGAAAATCGTCGAAATCTTCAATATGGTTGGTGTCCAATCAAGAATATATCACCACTCAAAAACTATAAGAGATGATACCCACAAAAATTATTCGTACTGAACCAAGCAAACATATTCCATAACCGGTTTATGTCTATCTACAACCATCTTCTAGATATGAGGAGAGAAGTCCCAAAATCTCCAATTTGGATGGTTGATAATCAAGAATATCCTATTTCTCCAAAGTTATAAGTAAAAAGGTGGTATGCAAAAAATCAGGTTATCACCATCGTCCAGAAATAATGCGAAAATTTGCCAAACTCCAATATCTATCCAACATATTACTGTACGCTAGACACTGTTGTGTCTGATGTGATGTGTGATACTCATAAAACGCATAAACAACTGGGCATAAATCTGTAGGAAGCCCCTATTGGTGTATATTTTGAAATTTGTTGCAAATACTCATAGGAGGCTTGCAAAAAAAGCTTGGAAGAGAGTTTCGTAAAAATAAGCCTTGTCGAAACGTACATCATACTTGATTTTTAAATTTTACTGATGATTTTTCAAAAATAGATTGATCCTTAAATTGGTGGTAATGTGCAATTACAGTTTTCATATTTATCTCAATGTGATTGAATATGTTAGGCAAAACTTTATTACAATAATCACATTCCCACCGCACGGCGTCCATAAACTCCAACCGCTCGGTGTCACGGTTAAAACCAAATATCGGATTTCCATAAATGAGTTATCCACTAAAACACTACTCATTTATCAATTTTTCTTATATTTAGAAATATGGAAATTAAATTTTTTTTTTATGTAAATACGATATTATTTAATATTGGTATGCAACAAGATCGGGGTGAAATAAAATTCACTAAGTGGCTTGAAAACAGAAAGGATAGAATAACAAGCGTATAAAGAGAAGACACGGGAACGGGGCAGTTTTTCTTAGAGTGCTCGAAAAGGATCGATCGGGTAATCCCTCGAGGGGTGCACTAACCCCTACATACTCGAAGCGTCTCCTTGCGACTGCCATGCACCCATTATCTGCAACCACTTGCCGGATTGCTTGTCACCTCCAAAAAACTACCATCTTTTCAACGAAGAAACAATTTCGCTACGGTCATCCGTCGGAATGGAGACAACGCATAAAACTACTCGTCCATATATCAAGTTCAGTTAGATTAGCACCGATTCCTGGTGCCGTTACGATCGCTTTCTTTGTTCCTGAAGGGTGGCCCTTTCTTTTTCCGGTTTTCGTTTAAACTGGAGGTTGCTGAACCGGACCTTCCTCTTCCCCTTTTGGGGGTCGATTCGACAAGGGCATGTTAAATTAAATTTAAGGGAAATTAAATCGGGGGTGGTTTACAATTGTTCGTATAGAGCCAACCAATATGTTCTAATAAATTAAATTGTAAATATAAGATTGTCATCATTGCAAGTATGCAACCAATATCACAGTATTGGTACGCAGTATTGTATACTGTGATATTGGTTGCATACTTGCAATGATTATTAATAATTATCTTATGTAATGGATTTTTTTGTTAAAAAATAAATTTGATTTACGTTCTTTAGGTAAATATATGAAAGAGATTGAAGTAGTTCTGACAAATCAATTTGTGAAGACGTGAAAGGGAGGTAGCTGAAGGTATTAAAATTCCCATTCTTTTGTTTCAGCCATGACTGACGATCCGAGGTTCGCGGAGCCCATACCAAATGTTACCGTCGCTCTCGGAAGAGACGCTAGTTTGCCCTGCGTAGTGGAGAACCTAGGGAATTATAAGGTACGTCAAATCGTTTTGATATTTCCGTACGGGGTCGAATATTAAATCCGAGCTCGGAGATCATCTCTTCTCGGTCCTCACCGGGAGGATAATAATAATAAAATGAGGGGTTCGTCGCACTGATTATGCGAGAAGGGTAGTTTTAAAAGTTTTCAAGTTCTTTTTAATGTAAACAAAAATTTACCTTTTTGTTTTATCGCTAGGAAGTTATCAGAATTTTATTAAACAGGTTTTTAGAACGTTTCGATCTTGGGCAAGTTGCTCGGGAAGAAACAGGAAATAATTTCGACTAAGCCAAGTTTATCCGCGCACAGCCGACTTGCGCCGTATTTTCCTTCGACTATTTATAATTTAATGATGGGGGTTTCCTCGGTTCCTCCACGCGATTCGTTGAATAACTTATAACATTTGTTAGATTTGCTTGAATATTTAATCCATCCCCGGTGAACTAGTTCCACGAAGCTTTGCCAAAAAGACACTGAGAAAGTCCCTGGCTTTCAAACGCGTACAAAATAATTAACCCTTAGTGAACCGTGATTCCTTTTCATAGCCCCTTTTCTGGTTTACGCAAGCGTCCGCTAGACGCATTAATTTGTTTATTTTAAACCGGATCTTTTCGTGCTGGATAAAACCTCTCCGTTTTGAAACTTTTAATTAATATCAACTAAACGGACCAAGCTGGGCGGGTGCATCCCTTGCATTACTTCTACTAGGGTTAATTTATTTGCATGCGTTCTCCCATTTATTTGATCAAAATAGATTACAATCTCAGTGTGGTCACAGCTCCTTTTCTTCCCGATCCCTTTCAAAGACTTTAATTCTATATATTTTTTGATGAAAAAGTTGATTATAATCTGAAGGTGGCCGCAGATTCTTTTCTTTTAGGATATCTCCCCGACGGTAGTTTTATTCTTCTACTCTTATATAAACAGATTGCAAAGCTATTTGCCCAGCAATTTGAAGTCTGCATTGTCTCCGGGAGAGTAAACGCATGCTCGAGTGGCGCCTGACCTAAGGGCGAACGCGATGTCTTCTCCAAGAGGTTGCATCGGTAAACACATCTACGAAAAATAATGGACGCATTACGTTCCATTTTGTTCCATCGTCGCCCGCAACGATTTTATTAAAATTCCGATCGCCCTCAACAAAGATCAAACAACCCAAAATAGAACGGCTCAATTTTTTAAAGTCTTGAACTTGAATTTCAACTCATATATTTTACACCAAACTGAAAACCCGAAAAGCAAACAAAACTTTTGACCGGTAAGGTTCCAAGAGAATTTTAGCGGGGAGAAAAAGCCAGGGACAAATTGTAGAGGCTCCCAGGGAATTGACAGGTAGAGTCCCCAGGCGGAGCAACCTGAAAGCTTCACCTCTATATTTTCATTGTCATTAAAACGAAAAAGACAGGCGCGGCTTAAATTGCGTTTGTTTTAAATTGCGATTTTAAATCTCCGAGCCGTTGCCCGGCTTAAAAATTCTATTTCTCCAAACCGCAATTACTTGATTCGTTCCAACACTTATCTAGTATTGTTGTCTTATACCAAAAATCCATATTGAATCGTGCCATTTTTAACAATTTTTGGAAAGCTAATTGTGGCTCCTATGTTGGAAGTGGGCTTGCTTCCAAGATGTAGATAATCAAAATATCTTGATTCGCTTTGATGTTATCTACTAGATAATGTTATTTTTCGATTTTGACAATTTTAAGCTATTACAAGAAAGCTAATTTAAAAAGATTTATACCATGAACTCAAAGTTATTATATATCGATGGAATTATGATTAATCAAGCTTTATTTTAAGATGTTACTCAGCAAAATATCTCGATTCTCTCAAATGTTATCGAAGAAAAACTAACATATTAATTTTGACGATTATAAGGTGATTTTTGCCAGATTTAAAAATTTCTGGAAACTTAACCGTGGCGTATCATATCAAAAATGATTTTTTGTTACTTGGGCTTTCTTTTAAGATGGAAATAATCAAAATTTCTTGATTCGCTTTGATGTTATCAACTAAATAATGCAATATCTCAATTTTAAGCTATTCTAAGTAATCTGACATAAAAAGATTTAGACCATGATGTGAAATTTGTTATATCACGATGAAATTGGGATTAATTCAGCTTTATTTTAAGATATTACTCATCAAAATATCTCAATTCTCTCAAATGTTATCGAAGAAAAACTAACATATTAATTTTGACGATTATAAGGTGATTTTCGAGCCAGATTTAAAAATTTCTGGAAACTTAATCGTGGCGTATCATATCAAAAATTATTTCTTATTACTTGGGCTTTCTTTTAAGATGGAAATAATCAAAATATTTTGACTCGCTTTGATGTTATCGACTAAATAATGCAATATCTCAATTTTAAGCTATTCTAAGTAATCTGACATAAAAAGATTTAGACCATGAAGTGAAATTTGTTATATCACGATGGAATTGTAATTAATCAAGCTTAATTTTAAGATATTACTCATCAAAATATCTCGATTCTTTCAAATGTTATCGAAGAAAAACTAACATATTAATTTTGACGACTATAAGGTGATTTTAGAGCCAGATTTAAAAATTTCTGGAAACTTAATTGCGGCGTATCATATCAAAAATGATTTCTTATTACTCGGGCTTTCTTTTAAGATGGAAATAATCAAAATATTTTGACTCACTTTGATGTTATCAACTAAATAATGCAATATCTCAATTTTAAGCTATTCTAAGTAATCTGACATAAAAAGATTTAGACCATCAAGTGAAATTTGTTATATCACGATGAAATTGGGATTAATTCAGCTTTATTTTAAGATATTACTCATCAAAATATCTCAATTCTCTCAAATGTTATCGAAGAAAAACTAACATATTAATTTTGACGATTATAAGGTGATTTTCGGTGATTTTCGCCAGATTTAAAAATTTCTGGAAACTTAACCGTGGCGTATCATATCAAAAATGATTTCTTATTACTTGGGCTTTCTTTTAAGATGGAAATAATCAAAATTTCTTGATTCGCTTTGATGTTATCAACTAAATAATGTAATATCTCAATTTTAAGCTATTCTAAGTAATCTGACATAAAAAGATTTAGACCATGAAGTGAAATTTGTTATATCACGATGGAATTGGGATTAATCAAGCTTAATTTTAAGATATTACTCATCAAAATATCTCAATTCTCTCAAATGTTATCGAAGAAAAACTAACATATTAATTTTGATGATTATAACGTAATTTTAGTACCATATTTAAAGATTTCTGGAAACTTAATCGTGGCGTATCATATCAAAAATGATTTCTTATTACTTGGGCTTTCTTTTAAGATGGAAATAATCAAAATATTTTGACTCACTTTGATGTTATCAACTAAATAATGCAATATCTCAATTTTAAGCTATTCTAAGTAATCTGACATAAAAAGATTTAGACCATGAAGTGAAATTTGTTATATCACGATGGAATTGTAATTAATCAAGCTTAATTTTAAGATATTACTCATCAAAATATCTCAATTCTCTCAAATGTTATCGAAGAAAAACTAACATATTAATTTTGACGATTATAAGGTGATTTTAGAGCCAGATTTAAAAATTTCTGGAAACTTAATCGTGGCGTATCATATCAAAAATTATTTCTTATTACTTGGGCTTTCTTTTAAGATGGAAATAATCAAAATATTTTGACTCGCTTTGATGTTATCGACTAAATAATGCAATATCTCAATTTTAAGCTATTCTAAGTAATCTGACATAAAAAGATTTAGACCATGAAGTGAAATTTGTTATATCACGATGGAATTGTAATTAATCAAGCTTAATTTTAAGATATTACTCATCAAAATATCTCAATTCTCTCAAATGTTATCGAAGAAAAACTAACATATTAATTTTGACGATTATAAGGTGATTTTAGAGCCAGATTTAAAAATTTCTGGAAACTTAATCGTGGCGTATCATATCAAAAATTATTTCTTATTACTTGGGCTTTCTTTTAAGATGGAAATAATCAAAATATTTTGACTCGCTTTGATGTTATCGACTAAATAATGCAATATCTCAATTTTAAGCTATTCTAAGTAATCTGACATAAAAAGATTTAGACCATGAAGTGAAATTTGTTATATCACGATGGAATTGTAATTAATCAAGCTTAATTTTAAGATATTACTCATCAAAATATCTCGATTCTCTCAAATGTTATCGAAGAAAAACTAACATATTAATTTTGACGATTATAAGGTGATTTTCGCCAGATTTAAAAATTTCTGGAAACTCAAACATAGGGTATCATATCAAAAATGATTTCTTATTACTTGGGCTTTCTTTTAAGATGGAAATAATTAAAATATTTTGACTTACTTTGATGTTATCAACTAAAAAATGTAATATCTCAATTTTGACAATTTTAAGGTATTATAAGGAACTTGATTTTAAAAATTTTATACTATAAAGTGAATCTTATCATATCACGATGGAATTGTGATTAATGAAGCTTTATTTTAAGATATGAAACATGAAAATGTCTTGATTAACCTAAAAGTTATATATTTTTTTACAAGGTGTGAATGATTTAATAGGATAAATCTTATTCGCGAGAAATTTTAGTAATAAAAATATTTCATATTCTAAATCTTCTTACATTTGAATGACAAATTTCTAGATGATTATAGCTAATCTTATTCCATGTATCCCATGTTATTGATTACGCTATGAAGGGTTGGGTAGAGGTAAAGAATTGAAACGAATATTTCAAGATTTCGTTCGGGACGTAAGGTTGTTTTAGGATGGAGGTTTATAAAAAGTATCTTTTTGTGCTTATAAAGAGCAAAAACATTTTTACAATACTTGGCGTGTTGTTGAAATTCCCTTGAAAAAGAATTTTTTTATTTTTTAATTATAATTACACTTTCTACCTTAAAGCATCTGACCGTTTCGGGGGTAACGAGCGTTGAATTACAGGGGTGCGACCGTGCGTTTTCAATAATTGGACGTGGGATAAAATCATCGGAATATGTGTTCGACGTATAAATATTATTAATTAATGGTAAACAGCTTTGCACCGATGGCGTTAATTTGTATAAATATTTAGTGAACCCAAACATACGTGGACGCAATTTATGGCCGAACTGACGCCGATGGCCATCATTTAAAAACTGATTGGCTCATAATGCTCGCGAAAAAACGTTAATTCAATTTCGGTTTTTGTTGGGATATTTTTTCCTGCGCCGGAAAGAGGGGAAGTATCCCGTTGCAGGGTAATTCCATTCAAATCTGACAAATCCCGGCGCCAAAAAAGGCGACAGGCTTTAGACAGGGATGCTGGGACGTTTCAAAATGTTTCTAGACGTTTACGACACCAATCTACAACCGATTTGGGGCGCTAATCCTCCGGCTCAACTCCGAGAGGGCGTCTTACTAACGATTAAACCGGTGCTACACCCTCCGAAATAATGAAAGTTATCTGGGATATTTAACTTTAAGGGTTAAGTATGCGGTTAACTGACACACTTTCTGGATGATAATAATAATAATAATTAGAACACTATTTACTTAATCTCCAAAGAAAATAATCTTACTACGTTAAGATAACTGCGATGGTGTTGACACCGTATTCAATTGAGTTAGAGGATACAATGAAGGATGTAACACACAGTATGAATTAAGATCATAATAGGAGCTAATTAATATGCGTGGAGGAACAATTAAATATGCATAAGACGACCGGGGCTCTTAAATTTAACGCCCGCAGTGTAAAAATGAAGAAAGTTTACTTGAGGGATACACAACAGCCGGTTTTTATGGGGTAACGCAATTAAAATGAAAGAGAACTGTCGTAATTGCCGGCATTAGAGGCAGTTAAAAGAAACCCTCTTTGTTTTTATTTCGAGTTTTAGAAGCACTAAAAACTCGGACGCAGAGAAAACAAGAGCAACGACGACGCATAAATCCGCGAAAGGCGTCGATTTAATTCTGACTTAATTATTCCAAGCTGAAGTCGCGACCTGACATCGTTGGTAGCAATTACTTAAGAATCATTGTTTCTTTTTTGGGCTTGATTACCAACGTATGTCACTGAATTTCAACTTTTAACAATACCCCTTGTTTCGAGTTCGGGTAAAGTCCAAAGTTCTGTTTTAGAATTAGTTTCTGAAAAACTAATTTATATAACCAGCACTCTCCGAAACCTCGTATCTTTAACATGTTTTACTAAGAGGGTCGTATGAATAAATGTATGAGGGATGCATCCTGTTTCTCAGGGAATATCCTACGTCACTTTTTGAATAAGAACAGAACCGATTTCAATGGAATACCTCCAGGGAGCTCGAGAACAAGCATTTTTTCTCGCCGAAGGGCGGAATACATCACTGCCATTCGGTGTTTCCACGTCTCAAAGGGAAGGGGGCAATCGCGAACTCCTATTTTTGGTAAGACGTCTCTGACGCCCGGCGCCGCCATCATTTGATTGATGTTGCATAAGATCACGACGAAGGTGTCCAATTTGTTTAATGGCAAGGTAATCGTGCACCAGGTTAGCTGAACTATAATCAATCAAATGATTTTCCCTTTACGATGACAATACTCCAACTTGTTGATTACCCCGATTAAATCAAAAGTGGTTGTTAAAAAAAATAATGAAAACGATTTAACGTCATAAAAACAGTCGGGCTTTGAAATTATCGAAACGGAATAACTAAAGTTTCCGGGTAATGGAATCCGGGCATTGTTTTTACAGGGTAATCTAAAAATCAGTCATTTTACTGGCCCGATTGCTGCTCTTTGATCTCTCCGAACAGTTCAGAAGGGTTGTAATAGAAATTTATGGTTACTTTGACCTCAGAATCTTAATAGATTTTTTTATTCCCCTCCCCATCGGACAGATTTTATCCTTTTCGTCTCCTTTACTATCTGCAGATAAAATTCCTGATCATAAACAGGCCTTTTTGCATAAATCGATCGACCCTCCAATCTCTTTCCTTTACCTCCCATTAATTTTAAAGTGTTTCATCCCCATTCATAGCACCTAGGAGAAACCTCACTTGAAAGGCGTTTATATTCCTTTCGAAATGGTACCTTACGTTTGCTCCTGGAAAAGGCGCGTTCTTACCCTTTTATATAACCGACTATTGTATATACATATTATAAAAAAATTTTACTCAAAAGACAGCTTGAATGATATTTTTTTCTAAAGGAAATAAAAGGCTTCAGATATAGTTCCTTACCCTCTTCAAACTATTGACAGCCACTGACAGCTTTATTACACGTCATACTTCCTAATTTACACCTTTTTTATTTGAAAAATGATCAAAATATAAAGTTATTTTTAACTTTAATATTAACATCTATTAATCTAATATCTAACTCAAATAGTTCTAGAGATACAGTTTTAGGTTATTAGAAGAATTACTGTTTGCAAAAGACGAAATTCTCATTGTCGAAGACCAGATACTACTTGAGCAGAATTGTATGAGTTTTGATACAAACCATAAATGAAAGTAACCCAAAACGATGGTAATCGTAGTAAGCAAATCAGTGGTTACAGAGGTTACTTCTTGCCTTCGTTTCATGAGATAGGCTCGACTAACACGTAATACGCTATGTATTAGGATTCACAAAGTTTTGGTATTCTGGAAGTCTAGCCAACATTATAAACGATAAGAAAATGTCTGGATATAGGTTGGCCAAATTTTAAACTTCTAGATAAGTCTGAAATTGCATTGGCCAAATGTACTGCTACACAGGTTGATTGTGCTAGCTAATAATAATAATAATAATAATAATAGTTTATTGGCATAACAATACAATATAGGTAATACATTAAAATAACTAAGTATAGAGTTTGCCAAAGGGTATTTCCATCAGTAAGCCAAATTATGGCGTCCTGGTCTTCCTGGAAATCCCATACACAAAAAAAAAGAAATATATAAAAAAAACAAAATAAAGNCTAAATCTGCTTTGAAAATTACTTTCTATGGTAGCATGAGGGTTAATGTCCGAACATTTATGCAAATTATGGATGTTATTTATGCCATCTCGAGTAAATTGTGACTCATCCGTAAATAAAATGTAGCGGTATAAGTTCCGATTATTATTTAACCACTGACGCCTAGGGAAGTCTTCTGGCTTCAGATGTTGAACACGCTGTAGATGATACGGATGCAGCAGATTTCTTTTTAATGTTCTCCATACCCTGGTATTGGGAATCCCTAAACGTATGGATATCCGTCGCGTACTAATGCATGTTCTCTTCCTCTGCAACATTCTGCTGTGTTGCTCGTTCATACTGCATATGAACGCTCGGAAGTAAACCAGTTTCTCGGAGAGCTTGGAAGGTACTACTAAAAGTCTTCGGCGATGGAACACGCCGATTTGGAAAACGTCGTCGATATTCAATTGAAGCTGCAGTAGCGTTTCCATCGCAATTTCCCAATACAAAAACCATATTAGCATACTCAACAGTCGTAAATTTAAACGGCATTGTACGCAAAATAAAACTCAAATAATTTTAGATTAAACGGCAAGCTTGTCAAATTTAACAGTAAGGTAAATAAGTACTTTATTTTACTAATGCAGTCATAGCACACCTACCCTTTGAGCCGTGCGCTGGGCCATAACGCCATAATTTTTAAATATTATTTTCAAATTCATATAACTCAATAAATGAAGTGAATCGGACATATGTTCATATGAACTTTTTTATTACAAATCACCTAAACAACATGCTCCATTAGTACCGGGAGAACTTCATGAAACACCCTGTATATAAAATTTTCTTACATCACATTTTAAATATTTAAAATGTTGTGATATAAAAAGTGTAGTTGTACAAAATATTCGATGTAAATGGCGATAGAATTGGAGCTCCGGTGGAGCTGGTTTTAAATTATTAAAGAATTAATTCACAATTTACAAGGGCTCTTTTGAAAAACAGCTCACGGCATCCTTTTTGCGTCCGCCGGGATGAGTAACAGCTGCTCCACACCGGCTTAGCCCTGCATTATGTAATACACGCGCTGGAGGACGGCCAATAATTCGCCGTTTTCCCGTTTTCTAGGTCGCTTGGATCCACATCGACAGGCAAATGATACTAACGATACACCGACACGTCATCTCACGTATGCAGAGGTTTAGCGTCTCGCACGATAACGCTAAAACGTGGTTGCTGCATGTAAGCAGCGTCCAGCAGGAGGATCGTGGTTATTATATGTGTCAGGTGAACACCAATCCGATGATCAGCCAAGTTGGATACCTCCAAGTAGTGGGTAAGTACAAGAAAAAAAACTCGAGTCCCAGGACGAAACGATCCTTCTGGCAAACACGATCCGTACCCGGGCCGGGCTCACTGTTTCCGCCGTTATAACGATCTACAAATATAAAAGTGTCACGTGGCTGTTTGCACGCAATTTAGTCTAAACGCAATTTGCTTAAACGTTTCGCCGAATTTAGTCGGTAAACAAGTTCCGGGTTAAACTGTTGATTAAATTTTTTCATGCGCGTCAAAGAGATCCGTGCGGTGAAACACAATTCGACCAACAAAACCTAAACCTTATCATCTTCAAGTAATCGATTTTCAACGACATTCCGAATCACTTTTTTATACACATTTATATTTTTATAACTACTCTATTTGCCGAAATCGGTTAAATCAGTTTCATAATATTATAAAAAAAAATACAAAATAAAAAACTTTGTTGCAATCTCAACAAAACGATTTTTAACTTAAAATAGGCGGTGAATGCGGAAAGAGATGAAACTACAAATCCAATCGGATAGAGTAGAACGTCCGCGAACGTAACTCTTGACTAAAGTTTCAGGAAAGAACCGTTTACAAAGCAACGTTAAACTTTTCTTATTAAATAAGTAAACGCACGTTTCCGTAGTGAATAGAAAGAGGTACAGAAAGCTTAAAGCGCGTACGCGCGGAAACGATATGCAAAATAAAGAGAGTGCAATGTAACTTGACCTTTTCGATAACGCGAAGGCTCGTTTCATCGGTACAGCCATTTATCTAAAATAAACAAGATGGATTTGAACCGTGTTTTTTTAAGAGATTGTTCGCTCTATGTGGATATTTTGTTATAATAGAGTGAAATCCAATGAACGATAAGAATTTAGGAAAATAAATAATGTAATTATTGTTTCTTTTATGTTTGAGAACGTTTTCTATACAGATCTAACTGTTTCTTCGGTCGCTCTCGACGAAAGACTGTTATTTTCGCGTTTCTTTGTTCGCGCACCCCTTTGGTCTTTGAAACATTAAATTACACCGGAACCGTGCGAAGCAATCGATTCAAAACGTATTATCTGTGTTTTTGCAGTACCGCCGAATATATTGGATAGCGAGAGCACGCAATCCACCGTGGCTATAAGGGAGAACCAGAACATCAGCCTGACTTGCAAAGCGGACGGCTTCCCCACCCCCAAAATCATGTGGAGGCGAGAAGATGGTCAGCCCATCACGTTTGAGCGCAGGAAGAAAGCCAAAGGTAACAATTAACGGGTTTACACCCCCAATTCGCTAAATACCTTCACCATCTAGCCTTTTACCGAGCTTCCTGCCGAGCACAAGGCTCTTGTCTATAATTCACTCCTATCGTTGTGTAGTCCTCAAGGAGCAATAACGCAGGCTACCTATTTTGTTATCCTCCCGTTAGCTTAAACGCCATTTAACTTAATTGAAATACTACTCGCGAATGGGAATTCTCCAATAGAAGCTATTAAACCTTGCACCCGCCGACTTCCTACCGTTTTAAACCAAGATAAATAACGTGTATTTAACGGCTTCTTCGCGTTTATGTTCTCGAGAACTAAACTTCACCGGATATCGATGCACATTTTACATCTTACTGTTTATCTTTAAACAACTTTATTTTTTATCAAAAAATCCTCATTAAACATATCCTAAATTAAATCATATCATATATCATACCGCATCAACCATTATTATTATTATTATTATTGCTGCCGGGCTGAGGAGAGCGGCCCCTCTCGTTACCGCGACCTATAAGTTCTATTGTAACTTTAGCCCTCCAAAGATTTAGGGTAATAGATCCTTAATGAACCTTAGTATTGTCCTGAGGTCTTGAACCTTTATGTCGGTAGGTAACAGGGGAGTTTTACCGAAGACGTTGTGCCTTAGACGTCCTCTGGCGACGCAATTGCACAGTATATGTTCAGCAGTTTCTGACTCGTCGTTGCATAGTCGACAAGTTTGATCCTCAGCTTGTCCAATGTGGAAGAGGTGGTATNTTATTGTAAATATTCAACTTGCGCAGCTCCCTCCACAAATTTTGAGTGCTCTCAGTTAAGTAAGCTCTTTTTTCACACTTAATTGCATTAGTCGTATAATTCCGCAATTGCTTATAATAGTCCCAGTGAGCTACTTTCTAATATACTAATCTTTTATTCCACTTTCATGTATGCCGGTATGAGTTTTGATACAAACCACAAACGACGGTTGTCTCCGAAGACGTCGGCCGCCTCCAAGTATCATAAACGCAGCGAGATAGACTCAACTATGTATTAGCACTTTTTCTAGCTGGATGTATGTTGGCAAAATTCTAAAAAAATCTTCTAGAGAATGTATGAAGATAATGTAGAGTGAAGGGAGTGTGGTAACAGATGTTACTTATCTCGACAAATGTAAAAAAGTGGTTGGTTTTGGACGTTGATTTTAAAAAATGTGCATACGAAAGCAATGTCGCAGATGGTGAAGTGCCGCGGGGGCCGTTGCGGGCATCCGCGTGGCCTTGGGCGTCTTGTAATCGGACGCTTTTTAACCGGCCCGTTAAGTTTGAAATTTCATTTTAGAGAAAATTGGAAAATTTCGAGATAAAGAGAAGGGATCGCGGTTTAATGCAAATAGTGGCTGGCGGGAATGGGTTTTAAAAGCTATACAAGTGGACCGGGGGCGGCACAAACTGGAAAAGTAAATGTGTGCTTTACCAGGTTGAACTTAAAACAAACTAACAAGCTTAAAGCTTCGATTCGCCGCCGCGGCTTGTCAGTTCACATCATTTAACAGACATCACAATAATTCTGAGCCGAGCCGGTCTAGTTAACGTTAATGTTGCGGAACGGTAAGCTGTAGGGTGAGGAGGTGGGGTGGAGCGCGTACGGGTGATCGTAGGGATTGCAACGAGGGAACTGTAAAACAAAGACAGACGACGCACGCTGCCGCGTCTTGAATTAATGGACAGACAGAAATTAAAGGACAACCGGTATATAGTCAGCTCGTTAGTATGATTAGTGTGGCACCGTGTCTCTTCCCAAATCTTGAAACATCTCCACGCCAAAGTTATATTACTTCAGAATATTTCGGGCACAATGCGACGCCCAGGTTAAATTATTAAGGTGAAATATCGCCGCGCGTCCCGCGTGATAAATATTCACCCCTAAATATTTACACGCGTTAAAGTTTAAATTTGTTCCGTCAACTTCCGCTCGGGACACATTCGCCGGACCGAATCGCTTTCCACTACGGACCGGTCCCATAAAATCGCTTTGTATCGAACAACCCTTTAGATTGAGCTCCTTCCACTCCAGACGTTGTCGAAAAACACCTCGGGCCGTACTTACCCTCCGTGATCTGACTTTAAACTGAACGCGTCTACTCCTTACGCCAACCCCAACGTGCCCCAACCAACCGACTTTGCCCAGTATGTTGATTTCGAACTTCTGGGGCGCGATTCTTTCGACCCTCGCTTCTTTTGCCCTCTTTCGCCCTTTCATCCCCTTTTCTACCGATTTCCGAATCCTCGGCACCTTAATTGCCCGTTTTGACTTTAAATTTTGAAACCCTCTACATTTGAATATCACGTCCTCGAATAAAAATACCCTATATCTGATCTCCATTCTTTTTTATTTCTAAAACTTTCAAAAACTCACATAATACTACAAAATAACATACCCATCTTAGGTGAGAAATATTATATATATACTCAAAATTTGGTCTTCTGCAAACAGTATCATTGTTTTGGCTCTGCTTAAAAATGATTAGATACAGCTAACACAAGACCATAAACTGCTTGAAGAACACTAATGGCAGAAATTTGTAATGCTTGAAATACACAATAGTGTATCATAGAGGATCTGATATTGCTTGAGGGATTTAAATATTGTTTGCAGGAATCATTCTCACTGTAGCAGAAGAGATACTGCTTGAAAAGAATTATTTTGCAAAAGACTACTGACGCGTACTATATACAGGGTGCCCATTATGTATGGAATATAGTATATATCACGGTAAATGTTGACTTTATAAAAATACGTTTTATATAAAAGTTGCTTAATATTTTATTTGCCATAATAAGACTGCATTCAATTGTTTTTAAATCAGAAAACAAATGAGTAACGACTAACACTTGAATTTTTTTAAAGGGCAGTGTACCCTTTCGTTAGGCTCATTACTTTTCTCTTTACGATGACGAAAATTTGATCAGAAAATTTTTGTAAAAAATGTAAAAATTGTTTATTAATAAAAATTAATCAATAACATTAATCTAGATATCAGAGATCGTCAAATACCTCGAATTATTACCGTAAATTAAATTTACATACAAAATAAAACAAATACGAAAAATTAGTGTAAATATCTAATAATTTGAGGTACTTGACGATCTTGGATATCTGGATTGATGTTAATAGTTAAATTTTCTTAATAAACAATTTTTACATTTTTTCAAAAATTTTCTGATATAAGGGTACTAAAATTTTACGTCATCGTAAAGAGAAAACAAATCTCTATCAAATGAGCCTAACAAAAAGGTATATTGCCATTTAAAAAACTTCAAGTGTTATTCGTTACTCATTTGTTTTCTGAAATAAAAACAGTTGAATGCTGTCTTATTATGGCAAATCAAATATTAAACAACTTTTGTATAAAATGTTTTTTTATAAAGTTGATACCTACCAAGATATATACTATATTCCATACATAATGGGCACCCTGTTTNGCTACTAAATATGACCTTATACGGTTGGTTGAAATTGTATTCCGTCGGTATAAGGTCCGTTTTAATTTCAATCAGGTGATTTAGACATGGGTCTTTGAGGATCTCGAGGTGTCCTCTGAGATTACCCTGCATCAACTTGAGTGAAGAAACTGTTTTCAGTGATAAGGCACTTAAGGCTGCCTCCTTTTGTATATATATGTGGAGCGGTGTGAGACCAAGTAGGGCTTCCAAAGCAGCCGTCGGACAGGATCTCATTGCACCCGTTATGTTAAGACATGCTAACCGCTGGATTTGTGCCAGCTGTTGTTGAGCTGTCTTATGTTTTGTTTTTGGCCACCAAACCAATGAGGCGTAGGCGACCTTCCGCATCAACCAAATCATAGTGTGTTTGATTTGACAGCATGGAAAACAACCAAGTATTTTTCTCGATATTTACGCATCTTAGAGTAAAAAAAAAATGTTGTTAAGAATAAAATTTGCTACAACTTTTATTCTAAAAGTTTTTTTGTAATATGCTCCGAATCCCAAGTATCATTGCAAGTATGCAACCAAATATGCAAATCGCGTATTGCAATACCAATACTGTGATATTGGTTGCATACTTGCAATGATGACGTCGAGTGCGATAATTAATTAACACATTATACAATACTTTGGGCGGCCGAGATTATTTCTTCTATATTATTTACTCGACTTATTTTGACTTTATATTAATTACAGCTTGATCTCTTACTTCGATGCCTTGAATCACTCGAGGTCTACGAGTGTGGGAGCTGATGGAGTTGGTCTCAAACTTCTTCTTCCTATATTGGATATTGTTCTTACTCCTATTACCCACATTTTTAACTTCTCCATTGAACGATCCTCATTCCCTTCAATCTGGAAGGTTGCTCATGTTGTCCCTATACCTAAATCCAAGAGTCCCTCAAGTTTAAATGATTTTCGCCCTATCTCCATTTTATCTGTTCTATCTAAAGCTCTCGAGCGCCTTGTTTATCTACAAGTTCAAGAGTATTTACAAGAATTTAACTTGCACAACGACTTTCAATCGGGTTTTCGTAAGGGTCATAGCACGACAACAGCGCTTATTAAGATTACAGATGATATTAGGTATGCTTGCGACAAACGTTGTGTTACCATCCTTGTATTACTTGATTTCAGCAAGGCGTTCGATTCGGTTGATCACGATCTTTTGTTGGCGTCACTAGCTGCCCTTGGATTTACCTCTTCATGTTTATCTTGGTTTCAATCTTACTTTTCCTGTCGTTCCTTGTGTGTGCGTGCTGATTCTGCGCTCTCGTCTGCTTGTGATATTAAATGTGGTGTACCCCAGGGTAGTGTGTTGGGTCCGTTGCTCTTTTCGATTTTTATTAATGCCGTCACCCACTGTATTTCTTGTAATTATCATGTGTATGCTGATGACCTCCAAATTTACACTACGACAACTATTGATGATTTTCCGGAAGCAATTGCACGTCTTAATCATGACCTTTCCAATATTTTGGATTGGTCCAAACGTTATGGCCTTAAAT